GGCGGCTCTCACAGTTGGAGGCATAGACTATCTACGTGAGAGTAAAGGAAAAGATAGGTAATGTTTTTGGCGACTTTAGTGAGAGCCGCTAAGCTGAAGATATAGACTACCTACTTGAGAACATATGAGAGATAGACCAAACTTTTGGCGACTTTTGAAAGAACCGTTAAGCTGGAGGTATAGTTTGTCTGCGTGAAAGCAAAAACAGAAATAGGCCAAGCTTTCTGGCGACTCTCATGAGAGCTGTTAAGCTAGAGATTAATAAGCTGGTGCCAGTGGGCTAGGATGACGAGGGCCGTTGGGCGACGCTAGGCACTGACGCTAAAGGGCATAAGATGTCGTTGGGCATAGACGCCGAAGGGCATTTTGGCGCTGTCTAGTGCTAAGCACTAATTTGCACATTGAGGATTATGGGCGATCCCTTTAAGTCGAGCGATTTGGGCAACGCTTGCAACAGGTGGTCTGGGCGACGTCACTGAGCAGACATGTGGCCCTGGGCGACGCCTTGTAAGTGATCTGGGTGACGCCACTGCATAGGCAGTGTGCACTGCCGTTGTCTGGCATTGGGGCATTGGTTGGCAAGGAACCTAGGTGCTAGGTTGCTTGAGCGTAGGGTACAGACGTCGAGGGCAGCCCTCTCTTTACCTGGTTGACTATCAGTTGTGAGTCACTATAGGCTGTTTGGTAGAGGACCTCCATCTTCAATGCAAGCTTCAAGCCTGATTTGAGGGTCTTATATTCAGCTTGGTTATTGGATGTTGCAAAGTTGAGGGAGCAGCATACTTGAGTTGAGTGTCATGGGGGCTGTTCAGCACTAGCCTTGCGCCGTCGTCCTCGCTGGTGAAGGACTCATCCACGTATAGTCTCCAACTTGATACAGTAGATGGTAGCGAGGAGCGCGGAAGGCTTCTATAGAGTAGGCACAAAAGAGTCGAGTGTCTCTAGTCTTGGAGTATGGTCATTTGAGGCTTGTGGAGCTGTCTCCGAGACATCAAACTTTCTTGGGATAGTGTCTGGGCTTGCCTCATAGTGGGTGGAGGCATTATGCACTAAGCAAGCGAGCGCAAGAACGCGTGGTACTTCCTCTAGGGATTCCGGTGGTGGTGTAGACTCCCGAGACTCCCGTAACGGTATAGACTTCCAGGATTCCTGTAGTGATGCAAACTCCTAAGACTCTCGTGACAATGTAGACTCAATGGGCAGTGTAGACTCCCATGACTCCAGCGGTGGACCGGTGGTGTAGACTCCCAAGATTTTCGTGGCGATGTAGACTCCTGGGGGAGGGGCTCCTTGGCGCTGCTCAAGGATGTTCTGGTGCTCGTCCCATTGGTCGGGGGGCGACTTGGTGCCTAGAGTGGAGAGGTTGCGATGCCTTTCTCATCGAAAGGAGTGGTGCTCCTTCTACAGGCTAAAGGGCAACGCCTCTTGGGGGGAGCATCAACTGGATAATTTGCTAGTTCTAGTTTATCAGCAACTACATGGTCTATAAAAACTGTTGCCCGACCATGGGAGTCGTCACAGTTGATGGTTCTGCGGGTGCAAGTGGAGGCAGAGCCTCCTCCCGGCTGGCCGGGTTATTGTCCCCTGATTGTTGACTCATCGGCCTAGTGTATTTGAAAGAAAACAATAAATTTGTAGAAAACTTAATCGTTTCTCACAGACAACGCCAAACTGATAATATACAAAATAGTTTATGCAAGATTAACAGTTGAGTGTGTGATAAAGTGTAATTAATAGAGTAATCAATGACAATAATATAAATATTGGGTCAACATGCAAATATATAATGGTTCGATTTGGGTGACCTACTCTACTCCGAAAAATGGCAACGGTGGCGGGGGACCTTTTATTGATTAAGTAAGGTGAACGAGAGATAGCGATGGTTAGCTCCGTGAAGGATACAATAGATAAGAGAGAGAAAAACTATGTGTAGGGTGTATAGAGAGGTATCCTCTCGTGTAGAAAGAGCTTACAATTGATAAGCATGAAACCTTAATTGAGGCGGTGACATGAGAGTAAAAGTTCTAGATCTTCGAAGAGCTTCAAAAGGTAAGTATAATTAAAGGTTGTCTTGATCTTCGAGAGTTAGTATCCCGATGATTGCCCCTCACGCGTTCTAATCCTTCTAGACTCCTTGAACTCTGAACTGGGCCAAATTCATGAATTGGGCTTGACCTGCCTTATAGCCGATTTGAGTTTAGCTCCTTAATTGGGTTTGACCAGTTAAATCTAGGATTGTCAATTTTCTTGAGAGACAAGGACATCTTGAAAAGGATTTCATGTTTGAGTTGTTTTTCTTTGTGTTTGTAATAAAGAGAAATGAGAGTCATTTCTTGGAGTGCAGTAATTTGCAAACAAAATTACTAATAAATTGTATTTTTGAATTTATTTATCAAATTATGACATTTTTTAAAAATGGAGGTCAACAATTATACTTTTAAATAAAAAAGGTGATTGGTAATTATAGGAATATTATGAGCTTAAAATATAAAATTATGTTTAATAATTACGCTTTTTATTTATTTATTGAAAGAGACGACAAGTGAAAGAGATATGATCAACCATGTGTATATGCCTTGACATGCTTCCTAAAAAACGTGTTTACTGACCACACTTTTTATTAAAAGCCTGATTAGTAAACACTCTTTTTGTGTTTCCCACAAATTTTTATGCAATAAATAACCATATTTTTATTTTAAAAGCATGGATAGTAAACACGTTTTTTGTCGTTATTGTAAGTTTTTTCTGCAACAACCGACCACATTTTTTTTAATTTAAAAGTATAATTGTTAACTTTATTTTAAAAAAATGTCATAATTTGATAAATAAATTTAAAAGTGATATAATTTGGATAGTGTGGTAAATATTTATTACAACCGTGTAATATCAACAATAAATAATAAGAGTATTGTTATGTCAGTCAAACTCAAAGTTTTCATTCTAAATATATGTGCACAACACTTATCGTTTTGTAGATCCCAAAAAATAAATAATTTAACTCCATGTGTGGTGTAAATACCAATAGGATAAAATATTTGAGTTTTAATTCACATAACATAGCATTATACAACATGTTAGATAAATGAGTCCAACTATTCCAAAGGTGTAAGCTAGTTGGCATGATAGTTATTGAAAGTTTCTAAAATAGTGGGATCTACTACACATACTTATATCGTGTCACTAATAACGTGATATCATCGTTATGATAGAAATTTCTTGGGATGGTGTCCCATGGGATAGCTTCTTTCCCTAATCTTGTTTGAATTTGTTCAATCAACCACAAATCTTAGCTTATTAAATTTTCAACTATAGATAAATATTGCCCAATAAAAAAATCTCTAACTAGGCTCCTAATATCATTAAAGAAATATAAGAGGGCATTACTCTTATTATAATGATACTTTGTTTTGGATAAATATCAATGATACCCCTATTGATTGGTATAATTATAGTGACCTTGCCATATTATTTAAATTGTCATTGACACCCAATTAACTTTATTGATCTCAAATGCAGTGAACTTGTACATTTTATATACTTAGTCCCGGCAAAATCTTATTTTTGCGATATGAATACTATTTATAAAAAACTCATTTTTAACAGAAGAAACTCTTCGAAAAGCTTCCTCTCTATTTTTCCTTTAATTTTTAAAGTTTTTACTTATTTTATGACAAAAAAAAGTGTAGTCTAATTACTTTCCACCATGCAGTTTAGAGGTATTTCAATTGATATTTACTTTTTTATTTTTTCGATAGACAATTCAGCTTCCAACAGGGCTAGAGCAAATGAAATATTACCCTCTAATTTTTTTTTTATAAGATTAAAGTTCTCATATTATACCTTCAATCGAACAAAAAAAAAAAAATAAGTGTGTTTTTTTTTTCTTTAAAAAAAATTGAATATCAAATTTATACTAAAAATACTTAAAATTGAGTTTAATGTAAATAATTATGTAGAGAAATGAGATAATATGATAAATATAATAAAAAATTATCAAAAAAAAACTCTCATTTAATTTTGGACTATATTATTTTTTTTATTTGACTGAAAATATAATATAAAAGTTTTAACATTTGATTGTGTGATTTAAAAAATTGAGAATTTGTTTTTGAGTGTCATTTTTAAATTTTGATTTTATGCGGCATCAAGGGAGGAGAAGGTTCCCACTCGTGAACTTATGCAAGACACCAGCGAATAGACAAAGGTTTTATGGAAAATTTCAATCACACTTTTTTTTAATTTATTATATATTTAAAGATACCTTTTCTATTCTCAAAATATTACAAACATCCATTTTAATTTATATTTAAATATCACTGACACTTCAGTCATTAAATCACAATTTATAACAAAAATTAATTATTTTAAATACTAAAATTATCTCTATATAAACCAAAAATAATTTTTTTTACATAAAATTCTAGTCAATTAAAATTTATTTTGTTACATATTAAAATTTAATTCGAGTTGATTGAATTTTTTTTTACATATTAAATTTGATTCGAGTTGATTAATTTTTTTTTCTATTTGAGCTGTTAGCCCCGATTAAAATTCGTTTTGAATCGATTAAAATGTATTTTTTTATTTATTATTCAAGTTGATTAAAATTTATTTTTTGAGTCAATTAAAATTTATTTTTTGATCCAATTAAAATTTATATTTTTTTATGTATAAAAAATCAGATCAATTAAAATTTTATTTGAGTCTCGAATAAAATTTTAATCGGGTCAAATTTTAATATGAAAAAAATATAATTTTTAATTAATTTTAATTAGTTTAAATTAAATTTTAATAGGTAAAAAAATTTAAAAATTTGTTGAATTCTGATTATCACTTTTAATCTGACAGAGTGAAGATTCAAAAAAAATAAAAAAAGTAATCTCAAAGATATAATAAATTTGAGAGAGTTAGACTCAAAATTTTCGAAGATTTTAAGATTTACTATACGAGAAAATAAACCGAACTGCAACACAACACTTGACAGTTGCGAAGCGGTACCAATGGCCGCATCTTCTCCAACCGAAACCCTAAACCCTCCCTCAACCCTCACTAACCATCTCCAAACCAACGGCCAAGACTCCTCGGACAAACCGACTCAACAACCTTCGAATATTCAATCAGCGGACTTAATCGAACCATCCCAGAAACGAAAGCGGGTGGACACACCAGAAGACAACCCAGAAGGGCCCAAAAGTTCTCTTCATCCTCTGTGGAAGACAAGCCTCTGTTCGTACTTTAGAAGGTCGAATGGGTCGTGTAGCCACGGTGAGTCGTGCCGGTACGCCCACGGCGAGGGGGAGCTCCGGCAACGGGCCGATGGCACGTGGGACCCGACTTCGGAGAGGGCTAAGGAGATGTTGAAGACGGAGAATGGAGAGAGAATTGAAGGTACAGGAGAGTCGGTGTTGAGAGAGAATGATGAGGTGATGATGACGGAGGCATTCGCGGAGGAGTCCTGTTCGGAGCCGGCGTTGGCCAAGTGCTTGGTGAATCTTCCGATGAAGTGGAGTTCTGACAATTTGAGGAGTTTTCTTGGTGAACAGGTGAGTTGGGTTTTGTGGCGATTTATTTGCTATGTGAATGTAAGTTGTTTGGTTGCTGAGAAAACATGGAATAATAAAAGGAAAAGTTTGAATTTTTATATTTTTTTTGGAATGTGGGATGGAAACGGTATGTTAAAGTTTGTTCAAAAATCATCGAAACTTTGACAGAATCAGACAAAGTATAACATGTTTGGGCGTGTGATGATTTTTAGGTTGTGTTTGGAAGCATGGAATTCATTTCATGGAGTACGAATTGGAATTGGACGAAAACTTATCATAATTTGAACAATTGGAGTTGTCCATAACGATGCTAAGCTACACGGTTTATGCGCCCAAAACCGGCACTAGTGAAATCTTGGGGTAGAGGGTACAGACCGTACAGCAGTTTTGGTCTTCCAAAGTGTGAGTGAGAACTAACATGTGTAATGAGTCACGATAGCATTACCTAGAGGTTGGTTCAGGGCTCTCTTTCTGTGTGGACAATGCTAGGGACAGAGTAGAATGTATGAAACGTTGACAACTATCGAGTTAAGGACATTGGATTTGCTCTGATATAGTGTTGAGCTGAACACAAATTAGTCAAATTTCATAGCACCATGAAACTGAGGAAAGAAAATGTGCTACAGTGGTAGTTGCTACCTTGAACGTCAGAGCTTCTGTTTTAGATTTTATGATATTAGTGATGCTTTAAATTTACCATCTAGCTATAAAGATTTATCATTTTATAATTGAATAGATCATTCTCCTAATCTCATTTTTTATCAGCATAATTGGTCAACATTATGAGGATTCAGGTATTAGTATTCACGGAGTCTTGTATGTTGAAATTTGGAGATTGATTATTTGTATTATCCCAAATGTTGTTGGCTGTTTTCTTAGATATACTTTCTTTTAAAAGAATATTCATGTCTTGCCTTCCTCTTCTACTAGGCTACCTCACTTCAGTAAAAAGTTGTGAGTTCATAACCAATATGTCAAATCAACGACCTTGCTTCACATTCTGAATTTGCATGCCAAAGGATTTAAGTGAGTTCCTGCACTGATCATGCCATGCACTGGAGTAAATGGATTTTTCTCCAAGTCTCAACCTTTTCCTCCATGCCAAGTCAATCGTGCCATTTATTAATTTAAAAATAATTTGAGCTTCAAGACCTTTCAAACTTATGAGACATGATTTTTCCTTGTGTTTTGTTAGGAGATATGGATTTAAGCTATGCTCATTAAAGGTTTTAGACAAAAGAAATACTCTAGTTATCTAAGCTCGGTCAAAGCCAATTCTAGCTACTTGGACTAAATTACTTGTAATTGCATGTTACTGGAATCCTGAATTGTGAGCGAGCCGGTACTGACATCTCAATAGTTTTGAGATTTATCAACTACAATAACACAAGATCCTTCTTTTTCTCAAACAATATATGAGAGTTATGAGCTAATGCTGGCATATATGCAATATTTACGAGCAAAAGAGTGTGCAACTGATACATATGATATGCAAGGAAATGTAATAGGACGTGATGTGGAGAATGTTTAGCACTTCACCTTATTTGGAGCAGTGGTCTTCAGTTGTACTGTCAGTCTCTGTCAATGATATGATATATAGGAGGCTTATCGGTGTGTTTTCCTCAAGTTTATGGATATTGTTTCATTTTCAGGGAATTCTCTATAAATCAGCCAAGAAAAAGAAAGGCATGATTGTAGGTTTTGTGAGTTTTGAAAATGCTGAACAAGTGAAAAGCGGAGTGGAGGTATCCCTGACTCTGATGATACCAATATGACTTTTGCAGAAACTTATAGTAAGTCTAGTGACTTGTATTCTCAAATTTCAATGTGTTAGGAAATGGACGGAAAATTTGTTGGCAACAAGAAGTTAAAGGTTGCAGATGTCACCCCCCGACCATTTGAGAAGAAAAATAAAGTGCCGTTACCTCCCGCATATGGCACCCAACAGAACCTGAAACCAGCAACTGCTAGTGACAGTGCGGACGTCTCTGAATCTTTAAGTGGGTTTGAAGATGATGATCCAACTAATGACAGTTTAATGCCTGGCAGTTCAGATCTAAAGGGTAGAAGTGTCCGTAATGCAGTGACTCCACTTGCTCATTTGCCCTATGTTGATCAGCTTGAGCACAAGAAGAACACTCTTGTGCAAATGCTCAAAAAACTTGTTAGATATAGTCATCTCTATTTCCTTGTCTTTTCATACCCTCATATTTTTGCTTTTATTAAATACTAGCACTTCTTTCCAACAACTATAAGGTATAATGTCATGGCTGGACTATCTTAACGTTTATGGTTTTATTATGTGTAGACTCGGAATGCACGTAAAGCTTGTCCAAATGGTGTTTCACTTCCAGAATGGATCCTAAAATCTAGAGAAATAGGTGCAGCTTCAACCTTATCTGGAAAAAAAGAATAAAAAAGATCCTTGCATAATTCTTGGCTTGTAGCCATATTGGAGTTTATTGGCATAAATGGTTTGCCCGTGAAGCGATGTTACAGTGACACAATTTGAATGCGTCATAAGATTGCAGACTGCCCCTTTTGTTGTCATTTACCCTTCGAAACCTTGCCCCTTCACTTTCGTTTGAAGCAAAAATGCTGGGGAACTTATATGGCTGTCTGTGTTCAATTTTGATGCCTGCAGGTGGTCTTCCATGCAATCTAGAGGGTATACTTGAATCCCCACAAGTGAATGGATACCGTAACAAGTGTGAATTCTCTGTTGGATACTCTCTACAGGGCAAACCTACTGTTGGGTTTTTGCTTGGCAATTTCAGGTAGCCTGCATTTATAACCACTTCTCATAGGGACTTGTTTTCACCATTTTTCCACTTAATGGGGATAAGTCATTTATTCCAGGGAGGGGGTAACAGCTGTTGAAGAGCCTGTCAACTGTCCCAATGTTTCTGGGATTGCTTGCAAATATGCTGCAATTTTTCAAGAATTTCTACAGCATTCGGGCTTGCCTATTTGGAACAGATTGAATAATACTGGATTCTGGCGGCAACTAACAGTAAGTCCATTTGAGCAGCAGATATGTAACTCGTCTGAATGAATTATTTGAAACCAGTGGTTGAGTGGTTAAATAAGTCTAATCTGCAGCTTCAGTGAGGCTGAAAATGGCTTTATGCTTTTTCCCTCAGCTTATTTCTGTTCCATGATATTTCTGATTAGGTTCGTGAAGGAAGGGCGCCAGCCAAGGGTACTGGGATTGAAAGTACTAGGGCCGATACTGTAGAGGTCCTGCTAATGGTACAGGTACTTGTCTAATTAACCTGCTCTAGAGAGCTGCTTGTCTTTCAATCTTTTTATCTTTCAATAGATACATGATACCTCAATGCATTCAGTAGTTGGTGGTAGTACCATGGCAGGCTGTTCATAAGATATATCAAATTAGGAAAATTTGGGTCACTTTTCTGATAAGCTGGGCTGGAGACAGCATATTATTAATCATATGTCTGCGGATTGGGAGTTATGACTCAATTAAGTGATTGAAATTAATCAAGCATTCATCCACCACTAGATTTCTCCTCACAGCTAGTATTTTTTTTTCATCCTCGTTTCTCTTTGTCAAATACTTAGGTTTGCACCAAGGGCTTGATGATGATGAACTAACAAACAGTGAACTACAAAGGATGGCTGAAGCATTCTCAGTGGGTGCTTCTGCTGATTCCTCTTCTTTGCCTCTGACGGCATTGGTACTTCAGG